TGGGAGTTGTAGTTCAGCAGGGTCTGCTCTATGTGATGAGGACGACATTGCCTGCTGAGAGCTACATAAACCGTCTAGTCCAATGAACGCCACACCTTCAGATCCACACGTCTCCTGAGACGGGCTGCCCAGACCGGACTCCGCCTCCTCACGTTCACGCTCCGCCTTGAGGGCCGTCTCAAGTCCGCTGAGCTCGTCTCCACCGGGCATTGGTTCCTCTGACAAGGCTGGCTGCTCCTCCCACACTTCAGCAGCAGCGGATTCAGGACCAGCAGAAGCAGGGCCCATTTCTCCTGCAGACAGAAATTAGATATATCAGACATAAGAACAAAATTTTACCTCAAAATTAAAATGCTAGAAATGCTTTTCAAAGGAGTCTCTTATGTTCACCAAGGCTGCATTTATTTGTTCAAAAATACAGTAAAAACATTAATATTGTGAAATATTATTACTACGGTTTTCTACTTGGAAGTATTTACAAATACAATTTATTGGTGTGATGGCAAAGCTGAATTTACACACTTTTCTTTTACATTAGCAGTTCATAGTGGCCACAGCTGTCAAGCGCCCAAAAACAAACAAGAAAAGTAACAATACATTGGCTTTGTGTGCAAAACGAAAACTTAATTCATCAACCCTTCCAAACCGGTTACTTTATTTTTCTGCAGAACTTAGAAGACATTTTTAATAATGTTAGTAAGCAAACGGTTTCAGTTCCCACTGACTTCTATTGTATGGACAAAAAATACAATGGAAGTTAATGGGATTCAAAACTGTTTGGTTAGCAACATTCTTCACAATATCTTCTTTCATGTTCCACAGAAGAAAATTAAGTCATACAGGTTTGGAACGATGTGAAGGTGAATAAATGATAACAGAATTTTTATTTTTGTGTGAACTATTTACATTAACCTTTAATGTAAAACTAGTCACCTTTTTTGGAACTTGACAGTCGTGGGTCCAATGTACTGTTAATGTATGAAAAACTGAGTACAGTTTTCAAAATTTCTCCTTGTGTTTCACTGAAAAAACAACACAAAGTTGAGGACCTAATGACAGAATTGTGTTCTTCAAGTTAACTATTCCTTTAACTGTTCATGCTCACAGTCACAAAGAAATGATTAGCCGTTTTCCTGAACAAAGCACTGCAGTGCTCACCGTGGGTGGGACTGGGGGAGGGAGGGCTGGTTTCAGTTTGGTTCATCTGTAGAGCCTCTTGCAACAGCCTCAGGGAGTCTGATCTGTAGCCTTCCACCTTTATCCATCATCCCACAGAAGCAGAAAGAACGACAACATAAGGTGTGAAATAAATTATCTTTGCAAACATTAAAATATTTCTTTTAAAACAGATAATAAACATTTTAGGCAGACATGAGGTGATAGTAACCTTGTTACATATGTGCTGTTTTTATAACATTTAAACTTGTTTTAGTGCAATAAAGGGGATTTATTCTGATTGACAGGTAAGAAGGTGGGGTCCTACGATCATATGTGTTTCTGACTACTTGTGATTTGAGCAACTAAATGATAAAATGCATTGACCTTGTTTACACTGGTAATTAACACTGTCCACTTGTGATCTGATCACCATACAGATGTTGAAATCAGATGTAAATATAGTCTTAAAGTGTTAAAATTCAACAAGGACATGCATATTTTTGGAAATATGACCTCTTAAAGGTATAGTTCACCCCAAAATAAAAATCTATTCGCCTGTCATCAATTATTCACCCTCTAGTTGTTGTTGAAGATATTTTGATGAAAGTAGGTAATAAAACAGTTGATGGTAGCCATTGACTTCCATTGTATTTTTTACCATCTAATGTTTGGTTACCCACATTCTTCAAATCATTTTCTTCAGTGTTCAGCAGAAGAACAACTTAAGGGTTGAAAAATTATGACAGAATTTTAAATTTTGGGTGAACAATCCCTTTAAATATAATAATGTCAATATTAGAGGGAAAGACAATGGAAAAAGTGAATTGTAGTTACTATAATTCTTGGTTTATAATCTTCGGTGCAGTTTTTGCACTAGCAAAATCAACCAAAATATACTTTCAAATCAGTTTGCACAAAGGGATTTTTCTTTTCAGGTCCTTCTCCTGTCCGTAGCCCTCTGCATCTCCTCTCTCCCCTCCGCTCCCTGCAGCTGTTTCCTCACATTCGATTATTCGATTGGCTACTCACCTCCTCTTTAATGCTGGCCACCTCCTTCCTCTCCCCAGAGACACATATCCTTTCCTCCTCCTCCTCCTCCTCCCCACCTCCACCTCCTCCAGTTGGCAGATGGACACGGAACACGTCCCTCCTCTCATCCCTCACTCCTCCAGTCCCCTCCTCCCACGCATCAGCACTCCACTCCTTCCCCTGCTTGCCTCCTGAGAGAGAAAGATGGGAGGGGGAAAGAGGAGAGAGGAGAACAGGAGGGGGAGGGAGGAATGCAAAAGAGGAGGAGAGGAAGGAGAAAAAAACATGAGAACTGAGGAGCTGGTCGCCATTATGGTTTCCCACTCAAAGGCAGGAAAAATGCACGATAAAACAACAGCATGAATGCGAGTTGGCGAGCGCGCTTACTTTGGAGATCCGTTCTGCGCGCTTTGCGCACCGTGTCGTCCGCGCTAAGCAGACCAGCCGCGCGCCGACTGGCCGCCCAGCCCATGCCATATTTGCGCTCGTTTCTCAGTTTATTCTCAGTCAGCCTCAGTCTCAATTTCAACGCTTCGTTCTCTTTTCTGTTCAGCGAGATTTCCACCAGGTAGTCGTTCACCGTGTCCTGGAAGAGTTTGGTGATCTCGCACACTGATGCGCGGACCAAACTGTCCATGACAGCAGTCAGGTGCGTTTGAAAGGTCTTGACCGATTCCGCCATGGTTTCACTAGTTTTCAGTCGCACAAATAATAAATAAAGTTGTGTCCAATAAAACTATGTTACGCCAAATATCAACACCAGTCACGGTGCATGGTTTTACGCATCCGCTTTGCAATAACGACACTTAATTTAATTGCGCATATGGTTATAATAACCTGACATCAACTATGGCAACGGCTGTCACCCGAAGTAACCCAACTTTGTACAAAGCCAATGGAATGAACCCTGTTCCTCTAACGTTATGTGCTCGCGACCACACAACTCAAACCCTTAAAAGATGAAATTCCACTCCAGATGACTGCACAAATATAGTCGACGGCTAAAAAAAGATCCGTGTTCATGTTTTACGAGTGTTTATGCGCTATTAGCGGCACCGTTTCACCGAGTCGCGACCCCTCTCAACTCAAGAGATTTTAATTCTCGCCTACAATATTATTTCCGGATGGCGCTTTCTGCGCATGCGCACAGCTACCGTAATTACCGTAAAAGTGGACCTACAAAAGGTTTGGCTAGCTAGCTTTGGTTACCCTGCTGGTAGATATTTTAAAAAAATAATATTAATAATAATAATTTATCATCATCATTGAATAATTATCCATACAAAATAAAACAGAATAACCTGTTGAAAATAGGAATAGCCTAACCTCTTTACCTTTTGTTGTTAAATGCTGTGCACTATTATAGAGGCAAAATGCATTAACCTCACTGACAGTTATTTAACAGAATTTTGAAGAATACCAATGTTTTGCAAGAAAATAAATATTCTGTTATGTTATCAAGATGCTGCCTTTGTCAATTATGTCCAAAATCTATGGAAAACATTACCAAGAGATTGAAGCCAGCTTGCTATTTTTTAAAGAAACCCAAAAACGTATCTTTTTACTGCAGCTAGCAAATTACTTTTCTGAATTATTATTATGTTGTTTTTTATTATAACTGTATTTTTATGCATTTAATGTATAATAATTTTCTCTTTTGTTATAATTATAAAGTAGGTTTCATTTGAATCTTGTTATATTAATTATGGTATTTTCAATGTGAAGTACTTGGTATCTATTGTAATATAAGTTAATAATAATAATGTTGATGATGATGTAAATGTTTCAGCAGTTTTTCATGGGGGCTCTTAACAATGTGAAATGTCTGCTGTGTTTTTCATTCCACTGGCATTTCTTAAAATTATTTACTGTAGAAATTACTTATTTCTACAGTATTTTAGTAGAACTTTAGTTTTTTTCTCTAGGTTGTTATTTATATTGTTGTATAATATTGTACTTGAAGTCGTGGCCTAATGGTTAGAGAGTTGGACTCGTAACCCAAAGGTTGCGGGTTCGAGTCTCGTACCGGCAGGGATTGTAGGTGGGGGGAGTGAATGTACAGCGCTCTCTTCCACCTTCAATACCACGACTGAGGTGTCCTTGAGCAAGGCACCGAACCCCCAACTGCTCCCCGGGCGCCGCAGCATAAATGGCTGCCCACTGCTCCGGGTGTGTGTTCACGGTGTGTGTGTGTTCACTGCTGTGTGTGTGCACTTAGGATGGGATAAAATGCAGAGCACTAATTCCTAGTATGGGTCACCATACTTGGCCACATGTCACGTCACTTTCACTTTCATTTACTTAATTGCATTGCACGGTTTATTGAAACACTGTTTATTTTTTTAAAAATGAATAAATAATCAATCATTCAAAAAATTGTGTAATAGTAATTAGTCACATGTAATTTAGGGCTCTGTAACTGTCTTTGGTTGTGCCATGCTTCTGCATCATGCACTTCTAGGGCCGCATGCGCCAGCCGAGCAACTGTGGTATGCTAACGGGTCTGCACTGTCAAATCTTTATTTGGGTCATATGGTGTTTTACGGTAGCCTAGAAGAAGTACTGGCATCGCGGTTACTTACCTTATTCAACCCGGGCTCACATCTGGATACATCCCCGACTGTGTCTGATCCTTCCACCGTTCACTATTTTGCAGTAAGAGCTGTCTCTTCGTTGCAGTCATGCCGATGTTCGTGGTGAACACAAATGTTGCAAAGGACGCGGTTCCTGCTGAGCTGCTCTCGGAGGCCACGCAGGAGCTTGCCAAAGCGATGGGCAAACCCGCGCAGGTGAGCGCACTGCATTTCTCACATTTCCTACAAATCGTATGACTTTTTATATTAGTCTGCATAGAACATGGAACTGTAACTGTAAATTATTAATCTCGATACAAGAGACTTAATCTACGGTTATCCTTTTAGCTGTAGCTTATGTCTGGATTTTTCATTGTCTTAAACTTAAAGAGATCTAGGCAGAATATATAAATCATCATTATTTGTCTCGATTTAAGCTTAAGTAGTGATGGGAAGTCAGACTCATTTCCGTGAATCATGCTTTTCAACAAATCGCTTCAAAGAACCAGTTAAAAAAAACGATTCAGTGATTCTTTTACGTCATGACGCAATTACGTGACCGCGTTATCCCAGATCCCACGTGTGACACATACTTGAGTCTAAAACGTTCCAAAAAATCCATATGTAGGCACCTTTTGCATTTTATTAAGTATTAAAATATTACATTAATGTGTATTTCAGTTCAGTGTTTTGGCGCCGTATTGATTCATAAAAAACAAAGACATTTGGAAGCTTATAATAAACCAGGGATTCTCAAATCTGGCCTACGAGATCCACGTTCCAGCAGAGTTTAGCTCTAACCCTAATCAAACACACCTGAGCATGCTAATTAATGTCTTCAGGATCATTAGAAAATCACAGGTAGGTGAGTTTGATCAGTGTTGGAGCTAAACTCTGCAGAGGATTGGCCCTCCAGGTCAAGATTTGAGGAACCCTATAATAAACCAAATTTGCATTTACATTACACCATACTGAAATTATTTTTATTGTGAAAATTGGGTCTGTCAGTTGACTCGAGAAGTGCTTGGAATGACTAAAAAAAGTAGAGGAACTGTATCATTAACTATTTACCCTTGTGTGTGTCTCTTTGTATTGCTGTGACAGTACATCGCCATACACATCATCCCGGATCAGATGATGATGTTTGGGGGCAAAGGAGATCCGTGCGCGCTCTGCTCTCTCACCAGCATCGGAAAGATTGGGGGCACGCAAAATAAGCAGTACTCCAAACTTCTTATGGGCCTTCTTAACAAACACCTTGGAATTTCACCTGACAGGTAAATCCATACATTACAGCTGGCTAAATTATTTTGCATTTACCAGAATATTTTGCACACATTAAGTTTCAACTTACAAATTTCAAATGAATTTCAGTTGTTAATATGCATATGCATGCATACATATTAAATAAGATATACTTTTCATATTATGTTTGTGTGTGTGTGTGTCAAATGCAGTTACTTTTAGTAAAACCTTGTATTGTTTTTCAGGATCTATATAAACTTCGTTGATATGGATGCAGCCAATGTGGCTTGGAACAGCACCACCTTTGGTTAAAGAATATGGATTTATGGCTTGATATAAGGCTGCAGTTTTTATTCCAGCTCTATTCAGAGAAAAGCTTTTGGAACCATAATGCTATCAGTCGATTAAGTCTTAACTCACAGCACTTACTGCTTGCAGCAGACAACATCTTGATTTGACAATAAAGCTTTCTTTAAACTGTACTGAGGTGTTAAGTTTTTGTTGTACATTACTCTTTAAAGCACATGTTTAGGAAATCATAATGCTGACAAAGGGATTGTATTGGTTACAGCCTATAAAATTGAATATTAGATATTAAGAAATATCCAAAATAAAAGGAAACCACAACATACTGGGCAAAAGAAGTAGCTCAACATTAGAAAATCTTGTTTTAGGCTTATCTTAATATTGAAGTCTTAATTTATGTGCTAATAAGCCTTTAGTCACACCAGGGTACAATACTGACCTGTTTCTGTACTTTGATTTTATAACTAGCTTAGCAAAAACATAATTTTGAGAAATCAGCGCAAAAAGGAAATGCATGCCTCGAAAGTAAAATTACAAAAGGCAGTGGTGATTTTATAGAGAGAGAGGCAGACAGACCACAAATCTGTCCGATTTGATCAACTTTAGCCACATCATTTAACTATACTCTAGACTTTATATATTTGACTAAGAATTAGCATTATCATAATGCACAAACGGTAAAAAAAAAGTGATTGACCAAACATTAACAGTGAGTACAGAGACAGGAACTAGCAATGTAAAAATAATCATGTCAGAAAAGAACATGAACAAGACTTTGAGAGTTTAACAGAAGAAACAAGGCGAGGTCAATTATCCAGTCTGGAACAACAGAGCCGATCATCAGAAAACAGACAGGGAGATTTTCCCATTAGTCCATTTACATCATTATGCATCCAGTGTCCAGGAACAAAGATGACTGACTAGATGGAGAAAATAAATTAGGAAAATTAAGTTTACAGAGGAGAAACAATAATGTACAGTATGTGGAAAATAATGTGTTTTTTTAACCTTAAACCACATAAACACATTTCATTACACCAAATACACAAAATAATGTTCTTTTTAGCAGCATCATATGGCCCCTTTAAAGACAAGTTAAGGAGCAACAGACTCACCTGTCTCCTTATAACCTCTACTAGCTCTTCAACGCTTCCTTCAAAGCAGAAACCACTTCAGCGGGATCAGGAAACTTTAGTTTGCGTGGAGGACCCTTCTTAATGCCAGACCACAAAATAACCTCTGCTCAGGAGAAAGAAATACAGAGTCAGCATATGTAAATAATTATTTGGACAACCGTGAAATTTAATCTTGTTACTCAGTGATGCAGGCATCTGAATACTGGTTGGGCTTCTTTCCGTGACAGTCTAACCTTTGTCTCCCTCCATCAGAGTGATCTCAAAGCTGTTCCTCCGAGGTTTCTGAGGATTGAGCACCACACGAAGTTCAGGGTGCGAAGCCACAAGTGCCTCACGCACACCTTCAGCATTCCGCCCATAGACCCGTCAGCTTTTGCTGTGAAAAAGTCAGAACATGATTCAAATATAAGTGTCACATATGTATTTAACTTTAAGGTTTTTTTTTTTTTTTACATATTTTTAATGTTTATATATATACAGTGGGTACGTAAAGTATTCAGACCCCCTTAATATAACAAAGAGTGAAAAATTTAAGGGGGTCTGAATACTTTCCGTACCCACTGTATATATATATATATATATATAATAAATTATAAAAAAGCATCTGTAAATAATTCACAAAAATTGTTACACAATAAACAGTGCATGAACACATTTTCAACAGCTAGCCATGTGTCCTCACCAATGCTCAATGACGACCCTTTGTCCTGTTTCTTAATCTTTTTTGTCAACTCCAAGTTTTTCTTTCTTCTCCTCCACTGCAGCTGCTTCTGCATCCACATCCACATCCGTCTTACGCTTCCTACCACGACCTGCATATTAAAGTGTATCAGAGTTTCGGTTTTGCATATATAGGATGATATATATAACCAGTGGGAGGGTATATTTATGTGGTCATTTTTGCATTTAAAGGATTTTATAAAAGACATAGCCTCCTAATATGAAATGTATAATCACTGAGATTGTAAGGCGTGACCTTACACAAGCAGCTTGACTCCCACTGAAGACGCATAAGGTAACAAATACAAAAACTCATAATGCAACATATTTATATGTAAGGTTACTAAAGATATTTAATAATAACTGTTTAACAGAAACTCGTTCCGTTATAGACTACTACTACTATACGAAAGTTTCAAAACGTGTTACGCACCTGATTTGGCTCGAGTACGCCATTTCTGCAACACATAAGTGCAGATAGTTTGGCGGGTTAGAAAAAAGTAAAAAAATAAATAAATAAATAAAATAAAAAAAAAGTAAGTGAGACGGACACTGCCACCTTTTGGTGCGGAAAGTTTCTTGTCTGTAATGTGAAGAAATACAACGGTCGTCCTTGCAGTCTCCATAGACTGTATAAAAACGGCAGTCTCACGAAAGCAATTTTTGAAGATGGCGTGTGTAAAATATTGAAAATGTCCCGGTATAGGGGTATCATGGATTATACATTATTTATTTGTTTAAATATGATAGACAATGAGAAGAGGTAATTTATGAGAATTGAGAGTTCTTTACTTTAAGAACTACAAAATATATCACAATTGGGGAAAAAAATACAGAAATGTATTTATTTATTTGCATTTTTACTGTGCCTATGAATAAAACAGAAAACTGAGAAATTATACAACTAGCACTGGCTTTCCTTTTCTATTTTTTTCAAGATCAAAGTTCATTTCTATACAGCACAATTAATGTACAGACTTAAAAAGAAATAAAATGTGTTTAAACTTTTAATTTGTGGTAACAGTACAGTACAGTACAATTATAAATACTTGAAGCGGCATAGGATAGCCTAGAACAGCAGAAACAGACAGAAAATGGGGGGAAAGAGGAGGAATGGAGTCAGGAAATGGCCCAGGCCGGATTCGAACCTGATATGATAAAGCCATCAGTCCTGCGATAAAGGCACACTTAACTACAATTAATGCATGTACATTTTAATTGTAAAACTAAAATCATACTTACCTGATCACTCACCTAGTTTACCTTTTCTTTTCTTTTTTGGCCTTGTTTTTGAATTTTGAATAACGTTAGTACAGTAGAGACAGACAGGAAAGTGGGGGAAAGAGGGGGAATGGGGCGGGAAATGACTCAGGCTGGATTCAAACCTGAGAGACCCGTCAGCTAGCAGCTCTGATAGCCTATGATTAGACCATCATTTCTGTAATCAAGCACAAACAGACAACACAATTTATAAATGTATATTTTTGGAATGCTAAAATCATACTTACCTGATTACTCACGTGCTGATCATTCAGTGCCCAACAAACATGAGACGTTGGCCCGACGTGCAGATCACGTCTATATTGCGTCGGTCGGTCCAGGACCATATCTGGACGGTATCTGGACGTCTGACTACGACGTCCCTTGGACGTAGATATGCAGTTCAAAATTTTGGACGTTTTTTTTTGGACGTCTGTACAACGTGCAGAACAGGTTCAGGAAATCGACATAAGAACTTTTATACAAATAAACATGACAAAACAATCCTATGAGTTCTGATTTAAACATCACGCCTATTTTTATGAAACATGTAGGTCTTAAAATAGTGTAATATTTTAATGTTTAAAATGTGACCATTTAACTTTTTTTATGAGTGGTATTTTTCACTGGGACATTGACAGAAACAGCAGTTTTCATCTATGTGTGATTTAATTAGATCTATTAATTAAATATAATTAATTAAATTAAATATATTTTAAATTAAATAGATTAGTTAAATTAAGTTAAATAGATTTAAAGAGATAAATAGACTTAAATGTAATAGATAAAAAGATTTAACAAATATTTTATAATACTATATAATATTTATATTATTATTATTATATTATAATATAATAAAATAGATTAAGTTAAGTCAAATAGATTTAAAAGAGATAAATATATATAATATTTATTATATTATTATTGTTGTTTTATTATATATTATAAAAAATATGATTTTATATTTAATAATAAATATGTAATAAATAGATAAATAAATGGATCTCAATTTAAACGTGCGCTCGCGCTAGGGGCGTTAACGTAGTGACGTAGTTTAATCCTGCGTTGAGGACACTTTATAAAACCTACAGAGAATGGGACCCTACCTGTTTTTATACAGTCTATGGACCCTACATGCCCAACGAACGGCCTTTACATCGAGAGCACGCGACGCAGCAACTTGGAAATTCAAACAGTAACAGTCATCTGACATCTGCCGAGCTAAAGGTAAGCATTATAAATGTACTTGTATTTGTCGTTTTGTCAATCTAATGTTAAATTTCACTTTAAATTTATATTGTTCTGTGTTATGACGTTAAATTTTCCCTTTTTGTAATTTTTATATATACCTGTTGGATAATTTGTGCGTGTTGTGGTCCAAGTGACAGGTAAATTTATGTTGATCCCTAGTTGTTTAAATTAGTCACTAAGATACGTAACTTTACAATAATGTAAGATTTTCAAAACTTTCTTTTGTGTGAAGTGTTTGTTCTTGTAGTAAAATAGACTTGTTGTTGTGGATCTCAGTGAAATTAGGCCCCAAAATAATTAATAAAAACACTCTTTGAAACGATTCACTAAACACTAAATATCAGTCTAGGCAGTATTTTCTGATCATATGTTCACCACAGAGGCCAAAATGAGCATTGTGAAGCTATATTTATATTTATAGTAATCGTTTATATTTCAAATGTGTTTCAGGGCAGTTCGTGAAGACAGAGAAACATAAAAGATGGACAGAAGTCAGTGCCAGTTCCCACCTGCCACACCAGACTCTCTGCTGTGTATGGATGCCTTTTTGGAGCCAGGGACCTGTTGCAGAGGAGAAGATTTTCCAAGGACAACCTCATAATTAAATAAGTTAATGTGGGTGGGAGTATAATGAACATAATATGATTGTTTTGTTGGTGCAAATGTTCCCCATTTTATATGAACTGTTTAATAATACAACATTTACCATATTTTCCGAAAAGTTGCACCAGGTCAGGAAAACACACACACAAGTTGCATCAGTGTATAAGACGCATTTTACTTTCAGAAATAATGTAAATACTGATTAATAAAACAAATGTTAAGAAACTTACACACGATAAATTCTGTAAACATGTAATTGACTTTCCCTTACTCCAAATAATTTAAATTTAATGGCATTTAAAACAGAACAAAAATTGCAAAAATATATATATTAGGCCTATTTATAAAATAGATAAATTATAGTGCCATTCCTTACAAGCAATATTTATTTTAAATTAAGCCTATAACAAACTTATTTAAAATGAAACAAACTGAACCTTGTGGTGGGTTCACGCATCTCTCATTCGGCATGGATTATTTCCATGAGTGACTCGTTAGATGCAGTGTAATATTTGGTTGCTAAACTACACTCTAAAAAATATTGTTTGGACGCAACAAAAAAAATTAACGCAACAGTTTGCATCAATTTTTTTGAGTTAAGGCAACTTCATTTATAAAATAGACATAAATCATAGTGCCATTCCTTACAAGCAATATTTATTTTAAATTAAGCCTATAACAAACTTATTTAAAATGAAACAAACTGAACCTTGTGGTGGGTTCACGCATCTCTCATTCGGCATGGATTATTTCCATGAGTGACTCGTTAGATGCAGTGTAATATTTGGTTGCTAAACTACACTCTAAAAAATATTGTTTGGACGCAACAAAAAAAATTAACGCAACAGTTTGCATCAATTTTTTTGAGTTAAGGCAACTTCTTCTGAAATTAAGTTCAACTAATAAACTATATTGTGCTATACATACTTATATTGTGTACAAAACTACATATACAAAATTGTGTTAAAACTAACGATTATTAAGTTGAATACTCATAAAAATGAAGTTGTTCTAAGTTGTTTTTTCACATTGTTTTAAATTTGATTCAATCATGGATACTTGTTACAAAAACCACTAAAATATTATTTATTAAGTAGTGGCAACAGATCCACTGAATTATTTTTTAGAGTGTATTGTTTATTATGTAAAGAAGGTTTTATACTTCTCTCGTGTATGAATATCTACTTAAAACAGCATCCTTCACATATGCAAAAAAATGTGTTTGGAAAAAACAGGCATGGAGATGCTTACGCTGAACAACACAACCTACTTATTGGATTATATCAGCTTTACTCTTGTCCTTAAGATAAGATATCATTCAAAATGGTCTATTTTTATTTGTGTACCTTCAAAATAACAGTGAAACGTCATACTTTTTGTAAAATAAAGAAAACAAACAAAATGCGCTTGCAGTCTCAGTTTCCATTAACCTCTTCCTCAAATGTAGAAAAACACAGCAGTACTTGTCACACAGACATGAGAAATATATTTATTGAAACCTTTAAGTACCCGCTTTTAATTGTTTATGTTTTGCTTAGGCTTTTTGACATTAAATTCATTATATCACTATAATATATATCCAAATTGTCTATAATATATATATATATATATATATATATATATATATATATATATATTATAGACAATTTGGAATAATTCAGCACGTCTTAGAAGATTAAAAAACATGTCTTGTAGTTCGGAAAATACGGTATAGCAAATTATTTTACGGACCCCTTGACTTTGGGTCACGGACTCCAGTTTGAATACTCCTGCACTAGCATATTTCGTTCTTATCATTATTGTGCATCAGGGCTCTGCGCTTACTTTTGTTTTTAAGAACGCTTGTGCTCCTAATTTAAAAGATACGTTTTAAGCATCCGTTTTCCCTAGCCTATTTAACAAACTCTAAATGTAATGTTTTATGTTTTAACAGTTACATCAGATCACCACCAGAGGTCATTAACGCCCCTCTAATGGTCTGAGAAACGATCATCTTTGGCTACAGTTCACAGTCAAATAGGCCTATCAAACTTCAAAACTCCAGACATTTTAATTAATTTAAATACGGTGTAGTGTGTGATTTCGTACCAGCAAATCCCGAATTAACGTAAATGAATATGTAGGCTATATATAATTTCAGATAAAATAACTATAAACTGAAGGAAAGTAGGAAAGTGAGTAAGTGGAAAAAAATCATTACTAATATTGTCATTTGGGAGAAACGCAGGTGTAAATATTGTTACTGTAGAACGTGCGCTGGTTCTCTGGCACGTCATAATGGAGCGCAGATGGAGTCTTTACAAAAGACAAAGCATAGAATATAAATACAAATTAAATATATATATAATAAATTAAATTAACCGACATACTGGAA